TTTCTAAGTATCTTTGAAGGCCCTAACTGTTTCGACATTGATGTTGATCACACTAGTCTACTGTTGTGATTCATCTCATTTTTGGGTCACTTTCAGAATCAAAATTTGTTAAGCAAGATTTGAATAAAAGCGATTGAATTTGTAATTTAGAGCGTCATGTTACAGCCATGGTTCTCATTTTAATAGTACTTCATGTTAGTTGTTCATTAGCGTTGCGGTGGAATTGCGATTTTTGTTCGTTTCTCATCTTCATTTGCGATAGTTAAACACCCTCTTAGTGTTTGTGACCAAGTTGCAATTACTCTTGCAATTGCAGAACTAGTTGAAGTTATCACTTGCTTGTCTTCACTCTTCCACGTATCTACTCAGCTTTTATCGTTTCTCAGTTGAGTGTTTCATAAGTTTTATTGCCTCATATTGCATTGCATTTTTGGAATTGTCTGGACTCATTTAGTCTATCTTTTATTAATCAACAGAAAAAGGATTTATGCTATTATTATATGAACTTATCCCAAATGATAGGAACCTCAGTTCATATCTATTGCCTATTAATTTCTTTTGCATTCTTTTCTTCATTTATGATTGTCATGAGCTTATATCATGATTGAGGATTTATTAATTTTGTTTCTTCTTCTGCAGGGGTAGTCTAAAATCACCTTGGTCACGTAGGAGAAGAAAACATGCCCTTCTACCTAAACAATGGAAGAATTTATTCACCCCAGATGGAAAGCTCATTGATGGTGGTGTTAAGTTTCTGAAGAAAATTCGAAGTGGAGTATGTCATTAAATTTGTTTCAGACTTCTTTGCCTGCATGTTTGTCTGATTTTGTTGCAGATTGTATCTGATTTCTTCTGTTTGAGTTGATATATTACTGCTGTTTGAGAATTTATTATTTGCATCTTCAACGCAGGGTGTTGATCCAAGTATTAGAGCAGAGGTGTGGCCATTCCTCCTGGGAGTGTAAGATTCTCATACTATTATTTATATGTACCTTGTCATAGTTCGATTCAAACAAACCTTTCTGTCTCCTTTGAACTCCTTAATTCTTGCTTTCATTACCTCGTGGTTAGCTTCCTCCTTCAGAATCACTTTTTAGTGGCCTGATTCCGTTTCCTAATTGATCATTATATCACCTCTTTATCATATTTTGATGTTTTCACATTGTTCATTGTCTCAATGATTCTTCACTTTGATACAGAGTCTTGGTTAAAGATTTTATTTTGTTAGTTGCTAGTAACTTTGGAAGTTGGAAGTAAGAGGAGGGAAAGTGGAGTGTTTAATAATTAATGTATTCGTTTGCATTTTATGCTCTAGGGATTCATATTTAAGCCCTGCTTTTTCTTGCTGCTTGAGCTTTTCGTCATTCTAATTATTTGTCATATAAGCACTTATCCAAAACAAATTTTTATGACATGATGATTTGTTATGCATTCATAGGTAGGTCTTAAAGACCAGTTACACCACCTGACTGTGTTTTCTCCATGCTTAACAGATATGACATCAACAGTTCAAAGGAAGAAAGAGATTCCATTCGAAGTCAGAACAGGCATGATCAATTTATTTCTTCTGCTTCTTTAACATGCAGATTCATCAGCTGATGCTTATAACTGTTACCCATCATCCCTTTTCCCTTCTCTCTCTCTCTCTCTCTCTGTGTTTGGAGTTTTTATTTGTTTGCTTATTTCTGATACAGAAAAGAGTATGATAGCTTACGGAAACAGTGCCGCCAAATTCTTAAACGTACTGAGAAGAGCGGTAAGTTGAAAGAAACTTCTGGAAACAGCTGCAATGAGGAAAGTGAGGATTTCAGTCAAGTTCTTGATTCTCCAGGCTTAGAGGATGTGGTTAGTGGTAGGAGGTCCCACTCCACCGAGGGAGGAAGCCCGGTGGTTGATGATTCAGATGGCCCTGTGTATGATCCAAGTCATCAAACCCTCCTATCCTCGGACTCATTTTTGGAGGGAGATGGTGATAAGAGTGTAGTCACTTGTGAAGATGCCTCTACTGGTGAAACAGAATCATCTGATACTGATTCCTCTGAAGAACATGAAAACACACCTCTCCTTGCCTCAGAAATAACTGAGGGAAATAATATTGATGAAGATGATAATGATACTTCCTGTCCCTCCAAGATAGAAGGCAGGTACAAATCCCACACTGATGAAGATTTTGCCACATGGCAGAGAATCATCCGCCTGGATGCTGTGAGGGCAAATGATGAATGGATCATTTACTCTCCATCTCAGGCTGCAGTATTAGAAATCAAAGCACAACGGTTAGCTGAGAGTGTTGGCTTGAAGGATTATGATCACTTAGAGCCATGCAGAATCTTTCATGCTGCTCGGCTTGTTGCTATCCTTGAGGCTTATGCCCTCCATGATCCTGAGATAGGTTACTGCCAAGGAATGAGTGACTTGCTCTCACCAATCATCTCGATGGTAGAGGATGACTCTGAGGCCTTCTGGTGCTTTGTAGGTTTCATGAAAAGAGCTCGTCACAATTTCCGACTTGATGAGGTAGGCATTCGAAGACAGTTAAACATTGTCTCCAAGATTATCAAGTGCAAGGATATTCATCTATATAGACATCTGGAGAAGCTGCAAGCAGAAGACTGCTTCTTTGTGTATAGAATGGTTGTAGTTCTTTTCAGGAGGGAGTTAAACTTTGAGCAGACTCTTTGCCTGTGGGAAGTGATGTGGGCAGACCAAGCAGCAATTCGTGCTGGGATTGCGAAGTCTGCTTGGGGGAGGTTGAGACTTAGAGCTCCCCCTACTGATGATCTTTTGCTTTATGCAATAGCAGCTTGTGTTTTGCAGAGGAGGAAGCTAATTATAGAGAAGTATAGCAGCATGGATGAAATAATGAGAGAATGCAATAGTATGGCTGGACAACTGGATGTCTGGAAGCTTCTGGATGATGCCCATGACTTGGTGGTCAATCTGCACGACAAGATTTAGGACTAGTCTTTGGCTTTTTTTTTTTGTCATGTCCTTCACTGATTTTCTTTTTACCCTTTAAACCTTTTCTCCCTCTCTATATTTTCCTCAACTCCTCTCACCATTTAGGGATCCCTGCTAAACCAAGGGATCTGCAAGTTACTTCACATCTCTGCTTGAAACAAGCATTCAATAGGTAAATTCCTGTATTAAGTAAATTATTGTGGGATTTATCATGTATTGCCCGCACTCAAAAGCTTCATCTGGGTGATGGTGGCAACGCTGAAAAATCAGCAATTTAGAATGTTTTACCTTGCTTGCAATTCTTGAATGAAGAGAATCTTTGCACATTAAGTTTTCTCTTTGTGCTTCAGTTCTTTGTATCAGTTCATTACCGATTGCTGTTTAGCGTGTTGCAACCCTGTTGAGCTCTCTCTTTTTTGGTTATACAACCCAACCCTATTAAACGCTTTACTCTGGTTCCTCTAGCATCAGCATCTCTGCTTGTCTAATGCGTTTTTTAATAAAATAAAGTATAGTTTTTCTATACTTATTCAGTTATCTTTGTGTATTTGCTAAAAATATTTCTAGTATTTTGGTTAAAGAAGAAAGAATTCTGTATTCTATAATTATTCAAAGTCTTAACAAATGGGTTGAATTTGGTTGGAATTAAATTCTCAAAGTTTATTCCAATTTTAATCATTGGATTTCTTAAACAACCGAATTTGGATACTACACATTATGTTACTAGTAAAAACTAAAAAGACCGGGTCCGTGCAATTTGGGTGGAAGTAAAAATCTAGCATATGAATGTTATTTCCTTCATCTTCAGTTTACCATTTTTTACAACTTCTTTTTACTTCTCCGGCTGAAGTAACTTCTTTTTAACGTCCGACCTTTTCTATCCGTTTTTCTCGACCTATGCTTCACCGCACTGTATATCTTCTTTTTTTCTTTTCACTCTCCGTTGTTCTTTCGTTTTAGATCTTCTACGATTCTGTTCTGGGTGAAATCACTCGTTCATCGCAATGTCCGCAATGACCGAGGAATCCGAACTTCAAAACGGATTCCAACCACAATCAGAACCCGAACCAGAATCGAA